TTTCATTTAAATTTTATTTCTATCGATTAATCGCATGTGCTCCGTACATTGTTTGTAGGTGTTGAGTGCCTTTGTAATAATAATATAATTAACAGTTAAACAAATTAAAATTAACGTAACGTACGACTGATTCTTTCAAATTTGCACTTTCGCGTGACCATTGTCCGATCAAAAATAATAGTCCAGTCAACCTGTGTCGTAAAACACCAGTTGAAGGAAAAAAATAGTATAAAGCTCATTTTTTCTCCATCGACTACTACCATTTAGACAAGTGTTTAGCCAAAAGTCCCCGCCCCTACCCCCTTGCTTCCCCCCCTGTGCCACCCTAAACATGAAAAGTGTAGGGGTTTCGTAAATCGCGTCTCTCTCGATTACTAAACAACATATCGGATTGCAATTTGTTTTATTCTCTTTGCTATAACATTGTCTACAAATAAGTTTCAGTTGACTTTCGTCGTAACTTTTACCGTTGGTTTGTAATTCGTATGAAAATGTAAAAAGTGGTATATTTTTCGGCACGTAATTTTACTTTTTGTCGCAGAAATTTTCACGCCGACATTTTATCAAAAAATGTTCCCTACAAAAGTTGTAGCTCCCATTATTACCTTTAAAATGATATGAAATAGTACTTACTTTGTTGAAGAGCCTGTGAGATTCAGCCGGTGTAATGCAGAATGCGTACCCAGTCGTGGCGGGTTCCGTCGAGGTGGGCCCGGCGGCACGGCGTTGCAATGCTAATATTGTGGTATAGTGAGTGTTTTTTTCTAACTTGAAGGTACACTATTGCATTTTCTCTAAACTAAACCCAACGAATCTCAGTGAAACCTAAATTCCACCCTTTTTAAATTTGTGTCAAATATTAATTAAGTCCTTGTATAGGTACAGCTAAAAAACGTATTTAAAATAGTTTTTTGTTTCAAAATGCATGTAATATTTTGTTTATGTTATTTTAGAAGAAAATAATTGCGGTATCTTAATTTTAAGTAAAAAATATTTTCAGATTATTCACATTAAAAAATAAATTGATGTTGACCATTTTCCTCGACTTCAACCACAGGTACCTTGCTGCATGATCCATCCCCAGTCCGTAGCGCTGATTTCCTTATCTCCATTCCATTTTTGAATTTGATAGATGCTCGATAAGCGTGTTGTTCAGCAGCTCCAGATGTTGGAGCGACGGATGCCATGCTAAATTTGGATTTTAATGACATTTTCGCAACAGCTTTAAGTTACATTGGATATCTACTGTCATTCAGACATGCAGACCTTGTGCATCGATATAGTTTCAAGAAAAAAGCCTCTTCTACCTCTTTGAGTTAAGCTTTTGTGCGATCATTTGATGAACTTAGCAATTTGTTCTCGTTGATTTTGCCTTTGCCGAATAAAGAAGACGTGGTATCACATCCTGTGATAGCATAAAAAAATATCACATCTCTTCATGGGTCTTGCTGATGTCATAGGTTGATGGTGTGCCAGAGGGTTTGTGAAAGAATAGTTGTACATTTTGGCACTGTGGTAGCCCTAGGAATTGAACGAAAAGATCTGTATCCTGTCCGACGACAACTGTAGGCCTCACACTTTGAATATGGGAGACACTATTCCTCTTCTAAAATCAACGCGTACAAATTGCTAAGTTCATCAAATGACAGTTTTATGAAAAACAGGCAGACAAAAATATTCTCAAAGAGGTATTTATAGGAGAGGTTTTCTTCTTGAAACAAATATGGATGCACAAGGTATGCATGTCTGAATGACAGTAGATAGGTATTCAATGTAACTTAAAGCTGTTGCAAAAAAGTCATTAAAATCCAAATTTAACATCGCATCCCTCCCTGCAACATCTGGTGCTGCTGAACAACACGCTTATCGTCTATCGAGCATACTATCAGATTCAAAAATGGATCCTGCAACTGCAAAAGGGCTTGCAAAAGTAATTGCAGCTGATTTAAAGCATCACTTGTTGCACAGAAATGTGTGGGAGCTGTGGCGGATCATGCAGTAATGTAACTTTGGTTGAAGTCAAGGAAAATGAAGAACTTGTCCTGGAAGTTTAGGAAATCGGAAATGGTCAACACCAATTTATTTTTTAATGTGAATAATCTGAAAATATTTGTTACTTCAAATTAAGATACCGCAATTAGTTTGTTCTAAAATAACATTAAAAAAATATTACATGCATTTTTAAACAATAGTTATTTACATAAAAGTCAGGAAAATGATACATTACTGTCGAGGAAGTATTGGAAGTGCGAGGTTCCGTTTGGGGCCGAGTACTTTAATTTCCGAGTCAGGTAATGTCATTTTACTGACGAGGTTTGTATTAAATTTTACCCGAAATCGTATTTTAATAACAAATTTCAATTTTTATATAGAACTTTTAATTAATGTCAATCTCAGTGATGACTATAGACATTTGGAAATGTCACAAATGCGGCCGGTAAAGTGACAGTTGCGGCCAGTAAAGTGACAAACGGCAGGAAACGTAGTCTGCTCTGCCTCTGTCATGGAAACTAAGATTTCCTGACAGAAAGTAAGCATGAAAATGAAGGTTCAGGACGATTTTGGGTAATAGAATAGTATATTAAAGTACAAGTGTCATTTGGCGAAGATTGTCGCACGAGGTAGTTTGCCGCATAAGCCGCGTAGCGGCGAATGCGGCAAAAGCCGAGTGCGACAAGTAGTCAAATGACACGTGTGCTTTATACTATTTTTTCTATTTCGACTTTTAAATAATATATACAAATTATAAATATTGCCTTTAGGCGTTGTTAGGTAATTTTAAACCTGGTTTTAAACTATCATTCAGTGTATGTTGGTAATAGACACAGTTCATTTATTTTCACGTTGGCTAACCTGATTCCTGTATTTTCAAACTTCAAACTTTTAATTATTTGGTCATAATTCCATTTTGCGGCAGTTATGATGAATACGGATGACAAACACGTCTCTTGTACAATACATTGTCATACCTTTGTTTATTTGAAATTTAGTTAAAAAGTCCTCTCTCGTACTTTATTTACACATTACAGATTATGTTTAGTTTTGATTTGACGGATACCGATGACGGCAAAAAAGCGAGGGGTACCAATCCAACAAAATAAAAAAAAGAATACGTTTCTATTTCTTTCAGCATCATTTTTGTCTAGAAACGCACGCAAACTGGACCAATCAAGTACGGTTTCGGTATTGTTTCCACATCGAAATAGAAAAAACTATTTAAAATACGTTTTTTAGCTGTACCTATACAAGGACATATTTGACACAAATTGAAAAATTGTGGAATTTAGGTTTCACTGAGACTCGTTGGGTTTTCTTTAGAGAAAATGCAATAGTGTACCTTCAAGTTAAAAAAAAACACTCACTATACAACAATATTAGCATTGCAACGCCGTGCCGCCGGGCCCACCTCGACGGAACCCACCACGACTGGGTACGCATTCTGCGTTACACCGGCTGAATCTCGCAGGTTCTCAACAAAGTAAGTACTATTTCATATCATTTTAAAGGTAATAATGGGAGCTACAACTTTTGTAGGGAACATTTTTTGATAAAATGTCGGCGTGAAAATTTCTGCGACAAAAAGTAAAATTACGTGCCGAAAAATATACCACTTTTTACATTTTCATACGAATTACAAACCAACGGTAAAAGTTACGACTAAAGTCAACTGAAACTTATTTGTAGACAATGTTATAGCAAAGAGAATAAAACAAATTGCAATCCGATATGTTGTTTAGTAATCGAGAGAGACGCGATTTACGAAACCCCTACACTTTTCATGTTTAGGGTGGCACAGGGGGGAAGCAAGGGGGGTAGGGGCGGGGACTTTTGGCTAAACACTTGTCTAAATGGTAGTAGTCGATGGGGAAAAAATTAGCTTTATACTATTTTTTTCCCACTAAAAACACAGGTTGACTGGACTATAAGGCTTCATAGATACCAAGAAAGTACATTGAAATTAATTCTTGGTAAAAATACCTTCATAACCTTAATTAACGACTCGCCAGTAAAAACCTCTTTACTATGCTAAGATTGTAAAATAGTATTAATAGTCTTAATGTTTCTAATAGTCCGTTACTAGGTTGCTATTTATTGAACCCCTCATCAATACTATGTGGAGGAAAACATTTTCTACACCCCCCAATATCAGTTTGATTAGTTTTCTTTGACGTTCTCATTCAATTCAATGACTATAAATTAGCAATGTATCGAAGGAAAGAGTGTGACGGTGTATATGTACTTGAGATTTCTGACGCATTCTCCAGTTGTACTTCAGAGAGAAAGTCTGTGCTTTAGAAAGCGTTTAGCCTTTGGATCTCCTATTTCCTGAATTAATTTTGTTCCGATTGTTTCTTCGCATCGCGACCTCAAAGTTTCAAAAGCCACACCCCTAAAAATAAATGCTTCTAATAGAGTGTCTTTTCACAAAATCACCTTTATTGAGCTGTGACGTAAACTTGTAATTAAATAAATTGTCGTTGAATGTATAAAATTCGGTATGCCTAAAGGTAAAAAAAATAATTATTAACTTTATATTTACGAAAGTCTTTTCAGTAAAAAAAAAACGCTACAAATTTGGTGCACAGTTATTAACAACATTTTCGTTTTGTACTGACGCTTTAAATTCATTCACACAGCAAATCGATTGACTAAGATTTATGATGGGGTACTATTCTTTCATCCCCGCTATTTATGGAGTTAGGCCAGCACTCTGCGGAATTTAACAATTAAATATCTTGATATATGTAAGTCTTAATGTTAATTATACGGAAATCAAACGACGTCGTTTTGAAGAGTTATAGTAGGTCGTTAGGTTTCCTTTTGCCAACCCACCCGAGTGTGCCAACGCATTGTTCTAAGTCAGTCGGGATTTAACGATAACAGTTACTCATTGTCTTTGTTATTGTTATTAGAACGAAAGAGGCATCATAAATAAATCGATGTGGAGTAGAGACGCGTTTTCCAAAAGTAAGAAAAGGAAAAAAAATACGCACACTTACCGTTCTGTTTCCTAAATTTCTTACTTTGCAGTTTAAATAAGACGTTTTATCTACCAGCGCGGTTACGTTTTTTGAGGCGGCCTTCTCGAAGAAGGGACCTCGATTTATTATTATTGGCTCAACGTCAAACTCCTCCGACAGCTCTTGCAAAACGTTAATTTCCTCACTTTTGGGACGTCCTAATCCTGAAACAAAAACTCGACGTTAATACATATTATAGGAAACGTTCCACCCTTAGTTGACGTGCTTAAGAAAATCGCCAACGATAAAATTTATCTCATTATCCTTTCGAGTGAGGTCACAATGGAATTGATCGAATCCATCATTAATGCGGTTGACATTTTGTTTAAAACCAAGAAATCCGGCGAGCCTGGCTAATCTCTCTAATTCCGAACTTTGCTTATTCTATTGACAACTTTTATTAAAGCTTAAAGAATCTGTCGGCTTAACTGGAGTTAACAACGAAATTGTATTTTTAAGCGGGGGATTAAGTTCTTTATAGCTGACCCACTATGGAATTAATTGAATTCGAATTTCGTTGTGTTTTTCTTCTAAACTTCTTACAGAGTTGGAGATATACAGGGACAGTATTTCGTTGGTAATGTTACTGTAAGTACAGAGAGGACACTGACTGGTCGGGTTTGACAGTAAATGTTGTCAGTAACTATTTAATAATAATAATAATAATAATAAAGCTTATTTAATGTTTTGTAGAACAGCCTACATACATAAGTCAATACAAAAGCAAAATAAAAATATTACAAATGTAAGAACAAACAAAATTATAACAAAAAGAACTCTGTACTGAAAAATTCCTCATACGAGTAAAACGCTTTATCAATAAGAAATGCTTTAGTTCTTGATTTGAATAAATTAAAAGGTAAAGCCTTAATATTGGGAGGAATATAATTATACATTTTTATATTGATATGATCAAAACTGTTTTGCGTCTTACTTAAACGGCAAAAAGGGACAAATGCATTTAATTTGTTGCGGGTGTCATAATTATGAACATCGCAATTTTTAACAAAATAATGTTCATTGCGCTTAACAAAACAAAGACAAGTAAAAATAAAAATAGATGGAAGCGTTAATATTTGGTGATCAATGAAAGCTTGCCGACAATCATCTCTAAATGAAATGTTAGCAATAATTCTAACGGCTTTTCTTTGTAATTTAAATAATTGCCTCCAACAAGCAAAATGACCCCAAACATTAATAGCATAAGACAAGTGGCTATGTATGAGTGCAAAATAGGCAGTTTTAAGAATATTCATAGTTACATTACTCGCTAATCTACGCAAAACAAAAATATTTCTGCTTAACTTCGTAGCAACAAAATTACCGTGAACATCAAAATTTAATTTACGATCAATACAAATTCCTAAAAATTTCACATATTCAGGTGTTGATAAATCATGTGATCGCAGTGATAATATCATGGATACCGTTTTCATTGTATTTATATGTAATAAGTTTATAGTGCACCAAGTATTAGCTCGTTGAAGTAATTCATTGGAGTTATTTAGTGCCCCGTTAATGTGTTCGGCCCCAACAAGTAAGGTAGCATCATCTGCATAAAGAAGGCAGTTTTCATTTCCAGAAATAAAGCTTGGCATATCATTAATATAAATTAAAAAGAGAAGAGGCCCCAGAATACTACCTTGGGGTACTCCTTTCGTTATACAGTTTTCCTGATAGGTTATTATTTATCCTTACACATTGAAACCTATTTG